GTGTGTGTGTGTGTGTGTGTGTGTGTGTGTCACTGTCTCATTGCCTGCTGGCCCAGTGGGGAATGTAGGAGGGGGTAGGGGGCCTGTGTCCGGGAAAGGGGTGGATGTCTGAGCCCCGGTGGAGGGAGAGTGGGATTAAGAGGGCAAACTTGGGACAGGATGATGGACTCAGAGCTGGTCCGAGGGGCAGACACCCACACAGGCACGGACGGAGGAAGAAAGTGACAAAGCAGATGCCCTGAGATGCAGCTGGCTTGACAATGGAACCACATGGACCATAGAGCAGACAGATGGAAATACACGTCGGGCAGACAGGCGCAAAGCCTGCGGCAGAAACACACACACAGGCCGACTGAAGCCACAATGAGGGACAAAAAGACTGACATTCAGCATACAGAGACACAAAGAGAGACCGAAGTGCAAGTCGGACCCTGCCACACTTCTACAGCCCCTCCCTTCTAAGGGGCCCAGATTGACACTATCCCCACCCCAGAGCTATGGAGGAGCCCCGCGGGGGTCCTACTGCATCGCCCTCTCCATCACCAGCAGAGACAGTGACACCCTGCCCCCATCACAAAAATCAGAAGCAGAAGCGGCCACTTCCCCTTCCTGGGTCCCCTCCCCCAAGCATCCGGGGTGAGGGCTCCGAAGGGGGAGGGGGTCAGGGCCTGGTGTCTCAGACCCCTCCTCAGCTTGGGATCCCCACAAAGAAGGGTCCTCGCGTCCTCCCCATTCAGGAACTCCTCTCCTGGCTCTAGGAACCAGGGAACAGGCAGTGCTCCCTCAATTTGGGAAGTGAGGGATGGTCGGAGACGCCCCTCCCCGAACTCCAAACCCTGACCCCCTACCCGGCTCTGCTGCATCCATGGCCCGGCCCAGGGGTCGCTCGGCCGGGACGGGGATGGGGTCGCGCGCGCCGGCTGGGCCCAGCTCGGATTTCCTGCGGCCGCTGCTGCCCGGCTTCCGCGCCCGCCCCGCCCCTGGTGATGACCACGCCCCCGACAGCCCCGCCCCCGGAGGTCACGCCCCGAGGCCCGGAAGCGCGAGCAGAGTACCTGCCGGTCCCGTCTGTGGGCCTGGGGCGTCCCCTCCCCGAGCCTCAGATGGTACCGTTGGGTGGGTCAGGGCCCCTAAGCAATCACTCTGGGCCGCAGCTCCCCCTACCCGGACACTCTAGGACTCCATCCCGGCCAGGACCCCTCTCCATCCCCCACAAACATCCAAGGCCTGAGCGCCCCACGCCCTCAGGGGCTGCAGAAAGTCTGTTGGGTCCAGGGAGCTACGACCTAGTGACGTCCTTACCCTTGGGTCACCTGGACCCCAAAACCCACTCTTTCCTGGCTGGGGCCACGGCGCCCCCTGGTGGTGGCCTGATGTCCTGCTCTTCCCACTGAACCTGAGGTCCTCTAATGCTCTGGGCCTGAGACGCCAGCCTCAGGGAGCCTCAAAAGCTGGATGAGACTCGAGGGCCCAACTACAGCACAGCTAGCAAGCTCTCCTAGCTACCCCCCCCCAGTGACCCTCTCAGGCACGTGGGAGGGGTGGTACAGCAAACCCTGGCCTTATCCCACCACATCCCCCAGGAATCCCCTTCAAATCCTCCAAGGGCAGAGTGCTCCTCTGGGGTGGGGGTGGAGTCTCAGGGATTGCCCTTCCCCCAACATTCCACTTGACTGGAGCGCGCAGCCTTCTGAATCTCAGCGGCCTCTCTGCAGGGTGGGGACTGGTGTCCTACTCCTGAGACCCCTCGATGCAGGAAGTCTTGAAGCTGCCATTGGGCGCAGGGCAGGGAAAGGGAAGCGTCTGCCAGAGGCCACATGCATCTAGTAAAAATGCATCCACATCCCACTCAATGGAATTTCTGGCTGGAAGTAAAACTTTAAAGTATGTTTATAATGTTGCTTTGCTGTTGGGAAGGCCAGGAATGCCCAACAGGCCGAGATTCTCAGCACACAGTCTACTCTGCAGTCTGAGCTGTTGCAGGCCTAGCTTGAACACAGTCATACAAGGCCAGGTAGGGCCACTCCCCTATCAGACCCTGACTGCTGAACCCAGTCACATCCTGTCTGTGAAATGAAAAGACGGTGACTCTGGCCTCTGTACCAGGGGTCAGCCTGGGTCAGCGTTTTTGATGACAAGGGCTGTCTCTCTAAACCTAAAACACCAAGAGCAAGACTGTTTATCACAGACGGAGAAAAAATACCAGCTCCTCCTAGTTCCTGAGATGTTAAAAATACAAAAAATAGTGTGAAATCACAGGTATAATGCTTGTTAACTAAAAGACCGGGGGCTGTGGGCTTCTGGCTTGGAGCTTGGCTGGCTAAGCATTGAATACTGTTATTAACCACCTCACACTACCCAAGGAAGGGTGCTGGAATCTTCCTCAGTGATCTCCTGGCCCAGACTCTAGACTGTCCCTACTCCTGTCCCCACAGTGGCAAAGACAGGGAGGCAAGGCTGCTTAAAATCACGATGCTGCTTTATTGACTGAAGATGCTAGCCCAGGGCTAGTTCTGCTGGGTGAACTGCTGACAGATCCTGCAGGGCTCAGCTTGGCTTGGTGGGCGAGGCGGCTGGCCGAGCCGTGGGGCTGAGCTCCCTCAGAGGCCCCACAGGGCTCCCCCAGGCAGGGCCAGTGGGCACTGGTGCTGGCACCGCCATCTCACGAAGGCACTTTCAGCTTTGGGGCCCCCAGGAAGAACTGCAGGACACGGTCCACCAGGAGTGCCAGGCAGAAATCCAGGAGCAGGACCTGGGCAATGACCAGCTTGAACTGGCCAGGCAGGAAGGCATGTGAGTGGGCAGGCAGGCCCAGGCCAGCCCCCATCCCCTGCCGCTGCTGTACTCACCTCCACGGGGATGTCCACCAGGCCGAACTGGCTGTTGATGTCAGGTGAAGAGCCGAGGAGCAGGCTGGAGATGGCCAGGATTGACACAGCCAGGCTCCACACCAGCGGCTTGTTTTCAGGCAGGCTCTCCATGAAGGGTGGGCCCTGTGGACAGATGGACGAACCAGCGTTACCTGGAGGTGGGGGTGGATGGCTGGTAGACTACCCTAGGTGGGGGCAGTGGGGCCTCACCCTGTAGTTGATGGCGAAGGTGGCCGTCTGCATGGCCATGGCCATAATGTACACAGTGCTGTTGACCAGGCTTGGCTCGAACTCCTTATACAGGTCCACGAACTGCTCCTGCCTGCAAACCATGAGGTCAGGACCCACACCAGCCCCACACTGCCCCCGCCCCCACCCTTGTAGGCACAGGAACACTCACACCCCATCCCACCCCTCGCCAGCAGAGCTGTCACCTCCTCCGGGTCCTCCCCCAGTGGAGAAGCAGAGTTCAAACAGGGTCTAGGTACTCACTTGGCGGGGCTCCGGGCCTGGGCCTCACTGTACAGGTAGACAAGGCTCAGGAAGTGTACAAGGAACTGCAACATCACCGTGAGCACCGTGTACAGGTTGAAGATGTTGGGCAGGGGCCGCTCTCGGGAGAGGGTCTTGAGGGGCTGTGGCGCACGGCAGGGTCAGGGCCTGGGTTCGCCCTGGGGGCCCTCAGCAGCCCACAGACCCATGCCAGCCCTCCACATCAGCAGTTGTGTTCCCTTTGTTTCTCCCCACGGCAGCCACAGGGGTTTTAAGACCATGAAGCAAATGGCGACTGCCCTGTCCCAAGCACTCCTGTCCCACTGCCTGTCTGTCCTTCCCTGTCACTGCACACCCTTGAAGTGCTCACAATGATCCGTGTCCCAGCCTGTCCTCGGTCTGTGAGCTCCAGGGAGTGACTGGTCCAAGTGGCCCACCCAAGAGCCTGGCTCCAAGTTGCCTGCACGCGGAGGTGCACGGCGGTGGTGCTCGAGGGCCTGCACCTGTTGCCCACTTCTGGGTCATCTCACCATGCCCACCACCAGGCCCAATCCTTATTGGTAACATGGGGGTGATGCCCATCCCACCCCCAAGGAGGAGGCTGAATTGCTCAGCTTCGAGAGCAAGGGTTGGCCCACCTTGGAGCGAGAGATGAAGAGGAAGCAACCTGCTAGTAGCAACCCCTGCAGTGTGGCCTGAAAGTCACTGAACTTGACGCCCTCCAGATAGAGAACGCTCTGGCTGTAGGCCAGGATGAGGGCATTGAGCGCCAGAATCTTGAACATCTGCAGTGTTGTCACCAGCGTGCAGCGGCCCTGCTTGATCACGTGGCAAACTGTGGGGTGGGGAGGACAATTTGGGGATGGGGCAGGGACACAGGACGGAGTGATATGGGGCAGTAGCATGGGGATGGTGGGGCAGACCGGCATAAATACTGGAGGAGTGGCCAGGTGGGCAGTGTGGGCATGGGAATGTTGGGGGCAGGGGGATGGTAAGGAGTGGAAACTGGAGGTGAGGGGAGCACAGGAGTAGAGCAAGCATAAGGACAGTGGGGGTTGGGGGCCAGAAGTGGGGGGAACATAGGAGCAGGGGAACACGGGGATAGTGGGGGCACATGGGTGGTGGGGGTCATGAATCGGGTGGGAGGCGGGAGACCAGAGACAGGACTCACTGCACTGGATGGATGAGAGCTTGGAGGTGAAAGGTGCAGCGATGCTCGCATCCCCCAGCTTCACGATGGGCATGCTCTCATCCTCAAGGTCCCGCAACACCTGGCTCAGGCGATCCTGCAGGGAAGGCGGCGCCCATGAGACCGTGGCTGGGGGTACCATGGCCCCCCACTCCCAAAAAGACTCACCCGCTGGGAGGCTGTCTGTTCATCTGGGAACAGGAGCCCTGACCTCTGCCTAGACGCCCGTGAAGAGCCCCTGACACTGCCGCTCAAAATGGGGCCATCCCGGGGCCGCCGCCGCCGCTCAACCACCCGCTCGGGAGCATTGGCCAGGAGTGCCACACCTGGGAGGGGGTGTGTGTGTTAGCAGCCAGGCCCTGCACCTCCTCCTCCAACCAGGGTCCCCCCACCAGGCCCCTGGCCCAGGACTCACCTACGTCGGCATGTTTCAGGGCGCCCACGTCATTGGTGCCATCCCCACACATGAGGGTCACGTAGCCCAGCTCCTTCAGGCTGGTGACAACAAACTCCTGTGGGTGGCCAGGGCAGGGGGTTGAGCAGGGGCTGGCATGCCTCGTCTCCCCCAGGCCCCTACGTCACATCACCCACCTTCTGCTTGGGAGCCACACGGGCGAACACCTGCACGTGGGGGATGAGGTGCAGCAGCTGCTGGGGATCCATGGCCTGCAGGTAGGCAAGGCTGTCGCCCGTGAGGCACAGCGCATGCTCCAGGGCCAGCACCTTTGGGGAGCCCTCCGCCAGCGGCAGCACGATGCTGCCGTCAATGGAGCGCCACTCACACGGCCGGCCTATGGGGTCGGGGTCAGGTGGTTGGGACACGGGCCCGGGGTATAGGTGGTAAGGTCAGGGGATGGGACCCAGAGTTGGGGCCATCATCTCAGACCTTCCAGCCTCCCCCTGGCCCCGTGACCTTGAGGGTCTGTCCCTGAGGCTGCATAGCTCCTATATAGCAGGTCCTGCCCTAAACGTTGTCCCTCGAGTTCCTCGCCCACCCACCCAACAGGGAGCTCTGGAGCCCATGTGTTCTGGGTTGGATGTTGGGGTTCAAATCCTCAGTTGCTGTGGCGGCAAGTGACCTGGGGGCGGGGCAGGGGCAGCTCAGCGCCTGGCTCACCCCTCTCTGTGGCAGGCTGCAGGATCAGCGTGTGAGCCTTGTCGATGAAGTGCAGCTCCTGAGCCACATGGCAGGCAGTGAGTGGGTTGTCGCCTGTGATCATTACCACCTGGGGAGATGATGGGCTCAGCTCAGCAGGGAGTGGCAGGGGGCTGGCCTCGAGGGGTGCGCTTCCCTGACAACACCCACAGCTCCTCTTTCTGACCCAACTTAAGAGCCACTGTTGTCCCTCGTTCTACCACAGGAAGGAGTGCTGTACCCCTTGCTGCCCTCTGGGGAGGTGTTCAGAGAGCCCAGGAAGGAGCCTGAAGCTG